CACACACGCACACACGCCGACGAATCTAGTCGACGTTTCGTTTGTTTCCTATTGTACGACGATTTATCGATCGTTATTCGGTTTACCTCGCATCTCGATAATAATTAATCGGCCGCTACGTTCCCTCCGCGTATGAAAAAGAAGTCACGGTCCGCTGTGTATCGAAGATAAAGGGGGAAATCAATTTCACGCAAGGAAATACGAACCGACCGGACGAGCAGATATTCCGCGGGGAGGGGAGATGCTCGCGGTTCCATTTCCAGATAAAATCTCTCCGTATTCTATTAACGGCCCCGACGGAGTGGAGTACCGGGTATTAGGTAACTCGCTACCAATAAACGAGTCGTTTGCCAGTGATTAACTACATTGAGAGATAGGAGAAATCCCGAGGGTCGGCGAAAAAAAAACCCCCCGTGAAGGCTACCGGGGCGGGTAGTAGCCTGGGCATCGAAACGGAGGACCGTTTCCTTTCTCTTTTCGCCGATCGCGATGATGCTCCGACGGGCGAACGCACACACGTGGCGCGATATAGAGAAAAGGGCTGTTTAATCCCATTGGGAGTGCTAATCTTTGCGCGCAGGAAACTCGTCCCCTCCCCCATCCCCGCAAACACCCCATAAACGGGATCCTTGGTACAATGGCCCGCAGCCACCAACCGTGAAAATAGTCCGCAATGTCAATCACAACCACCATCCCTCCGCCCCAAGAATCATCGAAATCGTAACTCTTCCACTCGTCGATTTCCAGTTGCCAATTCGTTGACGTCGTTTACGCCTTCTGAACGTCCAACTGACCATATTTACTTCCCTTGGAATTTGCCCCTCTCTCTACTCAAGACAAAGAAAATCTCGCTCGGCGACTGGAAAATTCTCAACAAATTTCTCGAATCTAGTTCGCCCGATGCTAATAACGGAATATATTACTCTCTTTGTCTTTTCCTGTCGAGGAACCTTTCTGAGGAGAGGTACGGAGAGGTGCCATTCAAAGAAAAATTTTTATTTATTACTGTTGAGAATTTAGAGCAAGCTGTTCAAAGGAAAGTCTTTGTTATTAGTTTTGTTCCACTTGAAATTACAGCTGACATGTTCACGATTT